TTTTTTCTACCCTTTGAAAGACTTATAAAAACTAAACGTTCGATCTCTTTTGCATTTTCTTCCGGTTGAAATATGAAGGAAGGCGTCTACCATACAACAAGAGCCATCACGAATAAACGCAACAACAAACTAAACAATGGATATATTTTGGCCACGTTTGGAACGCCGATACACAAGAAAGGGCCCATGTCGCACGTCATTACGTATGTAAATTATACTACCCCGTGCCGTAAACGACCACTACACGGCTTCAAAGCATCTAAGCATCGTTTAATCCCCAACACGGATAGCTTCAAAATAAATAAAGCAGTTATTATCTAATTTATGCTTATCAAGTATTACTACCAACATAAAACAACGTGAACAAAAATCATAATTCATACTGAAACTAAAGATTCATAACATTGAATATCACAATATTAGCTGAATTCATTAATTAGTAGGTCAGTAAAGGACTGATTTATACATCTAATTAATTGTGATAGGACGGGAGGAATAGTTTTAGAAACCAGCTGGCATTAGACCAACGTCGACTGGTGAAGCTCGAACTCTTCCGAGTTTCAAAGTTTCCATAACCTATTGACTATCTTGAGAATTAAACATTTAACAGTATGTTTGTTATGCATCTGCAGATCAATTCGGTATAGTAAACATTTAAAAGTTGGATTTATTTGTGCTATGCACAGTGTATTTAATTTCAATTAATTAAGGTTTTGGTTGATATAAAAAAGTCAGTGTAACAAGCGGGATTCGAACCCACGACCGTCGGCTAAATACGCCGCTGCTCTTCCACTTGACCTATCTTGACTTCAATCCATTCGGACACGAACTTCTCATCTCAACCCCACCTTTTGAATTTTCCCTCCTTTTTGCCATTTTTCAAATGTCGTGTAATCTATTTGATTCCCGGCGACAAATGAATTGGCCACGGAGAGCTTTAGTGAAGCATACTTCATTTTGCTTATTACATTTACATATTAGGTTTCGTGGTCCGCTTGACCAAATAAATTCTTTTTAATTAATTAAGGTTTTGGTTGATATAAAAAAGTCAGTGTCACAAGCGGGATTCGAACCCACGACCTTCGGCTAAATACGCCGCTCTATACCATATGAACCCCACCTTTTGAATTTTCCCTCCTTCCGCTTGTGACACTGACTTTTTTATCTCAACCAAAACCTTAATTAATTGAAAAGAATTTATTTGGTTAAGCGGACCACGAAACCTAATAAGTGTATTTAATGTTGTGCGCAATTAAAACGTTTCCGATGAATGATTCATGAATACGCCAGATAACTCAGGGAAAAATAATTTATGTTTTTAATCAGAATAAATTGAAATATAGTTTTTGAAATTATAACATTTTTTATGTTTATAAATAATTTTGATTTTTTTTTGTTATCGTTAGCCTGTCAGATTGTTATACAATATATAATTTTCAGGGGAAAGGTGTTTTCATCCGTGTGCCAAAATACAATTGAACGGGCTCATTAATAATGATTGATCCTTAAATTATATCGAAATGAAATGAGACATGTACCAATTTATTTGAGTGCACCACCAACGAATTTAGTATCTTGTTACAAAATGACTGTATAGGCTTTTCAATGTACAGCCATTTTTAAAGGGGTAAGCATAAAAACGTCTAGCTTGGTCGGAGTAAATCGTAAATATCGCGACAGTGAGACCAAATCTAATCATAGCTCGACCTGGCTTCCCACGCTGTTCTTATACGAACCCTCTCCGAGTCTCCTAGTCCGGCTTTCTTTTACAAAATATATTTAACAATTGGGATATATATTTTTTGAGGGTCTTTTTTAGGCCTCGCCATTTCCATCTTTATGGCCATCGCGAGTTCGTCTGGAGCACTCTTGTTGTTTCCTGGACGTGCTTTTTTTTATATTCCGTATGGGGAAAAGTAAATGCGGGCAACAAGAGAATGTAATAAGGGAGAGCACTACTGGGATATGCCAATTTCTCTTGTATATCTACCCAATGACAAATTACCCGTCAGATTATTCTTCACTGCCCCGTGAACTCACTTATACGGCTTATCCCCACTAGATATGTTATACTTGAACTTGAATGCACGAGTTTTGATATTGGCAATATTGATGAATTACTGACAAATTAGTATTTACCATTGAATTATAATGACAAAATGTTATTATTAATTGATTAAAAAAATAACAGCTTAAACTATATTTTGTTCAACTTTTTAAACGTCACAGTATTGAGGTTTTTATCGAAATACTATTCCATAAAATACAAATAAGGATTTTATTGAAAATATTTTTTGGCTTAATAGCATGTTCACAGTGTGTCCCTTTTTATCTTAGGATATTGAAAGGAAAATTTTGATAGGATTGACCATTTCTGAGTTATGCCCGGAAGACGCGTTTGGGGGTAAAAGCAACCCCATGATCCCTACCCTATTGTGAGACGATTGCTATCCTAAATTAACTTGCTAATGCTAATCATTTTCGAAATAAACGGGGCGGTCCATCTTCTTATTACAAAAAGCATACTCCCCTCACGCGTCTTCCGTCGAGCATAACTCAGAAATGGTCGATCCTATTAAAATTTTCCTTTCAGTAAAAATGGTATAAAATAAGCTCTATAATCGAATTGTACAATAAAATAAGAGATTTTAAATTCAGTGTCATTCCCCAACTCGATGAGAAAGTTATGTTAAATCTGTTACCACCTCCCGAATTCTAGCCAAAATTATCTTGGGGTTTGTATAAGACCATTTTTTGCTAAGTTATGCGATTCAGAATTAAATGGATGGACTGTAGAAGTTGATACACCCTGTATGTATTATATATAGGTATTTTTACATCACCACCCTATACAAACATAGAAATCTGGTCACATTCACTTCCTCAGAGTATTCGATATTCTTTGGAATTGGGTCGAGGACACTCCATTCTCGGTAAAACTTAGATTTACTCTCCAGACATCACACACCCACTCCAGAGTACACGATATTCCTTGGGGCAGGTTTAAACAACCCCTTCCTTTCATGGTAATAAATGGCATTCATTCCAATAAATTAGCATAAACACAACACAGACACTACACAAACATATCTAAAAACATTACATACATTTCAAAAGTCCTATAGACCTGAGGTACCCGAACAACGATCTGTGCCCGCCGTCGTACCCCAAGACTACGCACAGGTCTATCATCGACTATACCAAAATATTGCCTATAAACGGGAAGCCTTCTACAATTGAAAATGTGCTCGTTATTTTATTTTTGCATTTCCGGTACCAACGAGGTCATTTTCCGGCCAGCAGATGCCCGAGAGTTTGCAAGAGCAGAGGTCATATCGACCCTTAGGGTGTCGGTTTTTATGAAAAAAAGTCCATTTGCAAATATGTCGGATTGGAATGCAGGGCCGCTGGATTCGAACCCGAGTCCTTCACCGTATAGCGATGAGCGCCTTGTCAACGCCTAAAATGTTACAGCCACCCAGAAATGTTGTTACTGACTGAAAACACCTTTCTGTAAATAATGTTTTTTTTTCAAAATACAAAGGGTTTTTTGGTGGTCTCGGGCACGTTATTGTGAATTTGGTTTCCTTGAGTGAAAACTGTCAGTTCCTCAGCAGAAACGATATTTCATTCGCTTAGGTGGTAGTATATATTTTTTTAATTTATTGTCTTATCATTGTGCTCAAGTTTAACATTGTTCATTATAGGTCTACGATATTTGATATTTATGGTCATCTCTATATTGGTGTATCCTTTTTTAACAAATTTTTCAATCTAATGTATCATGGAAATAGAATAAATATCTGAACGATTTTGTATGAGATCTATGTATGCTTTCATTTTTTGAACAAGGGATTATACCAGTATATATTATTTTTAATTCTTAATTTGTTTTCAGTGCTGGACGTGGAGAAAGGCTCTTGGAACGTTTTCTCCAAACGTAAAACCTTTTATCGTCGAATTCAGCGCCAAAACGTTAGAAAAAAAATTACATTGATGAGTATCTTGCCATTTGAAATAGCTAAGCCCCTATTCGTATCTCACTTGCCTTGACAGACGAAAATCTTTTGGCTCATGAGAACTAAGACAAAAAATAAAAGTTTCCGTATCTTAGGGTGTTTCTCGGGAAGTAAGAAAGAGGTAATTTGGAGTGAAAAAGTGTTAATTCGAAAGTAAAAAGAGATAATTTGTCGGAAAAAGCTATGTAACAAATAAAATAATTTCCAATAAAGAAAATAAAGTATACTAATAAGCATTTTCTCGAGAAAATAACTGAATCAGAATTTTACGCCTTTATTTTTATGATTGCAATATTCTGTGAGTTTTGCATGAATATAAATTATATTTTTAATTTTTTAGTAACATGTTAGAAATATTGTTTTGTCAAATGTAATAAAAATTTGCACCGCAAAAACACTTTAGATGTGATAAAAAATAGCAACGATTATGGTGCAAGTGCCGAAACGTGACCTTTCGTAATGTGGTGAATGTTGATCAAGCTTCAAAATTAATAAGCCTAAAAATATTAATAGTCCTAATAAATGCAAACCAGGGAAGTAAAAGGGATTTTTTGTAATGTTTTTTATCAAAAGTTATAATTTTCTTGTAGATTTTTGTAAAAATAAAACTAATAAAATTCCTCGTCATTTATAAACCCTTAATTAGTCATTGTTATGTGGTTAATGTGTTTGTATGTCATTAGAACGTATAACACACATGTGCATAAACTGCATATTTTTCGTCTACATGGCTGTTAGGTGGTAAAAGTGATAACGCCCTTCCAGCATAGAGGGTTATGGTCGTAAACTCAGAATATTTGATTTCCAAAAACTCGTTTTTAATGAAAACAGAAGGCATGTTGCATTGAATTTAAGATTAAACAATGTATCCTGAACCCATTTACGAGTGTAATGTGATTGTGTAAACAGTGAGTAATCCTTTCTGATCCTCTGCATCAAGTTGTTTACTAAATGAATTATTAACTTTCAGTTTCCACAAGCTGCTCCGAAACACCTTCAATTACTAAACTTTACATTAAACAAACCGTTTCTCTTGAGGAAAAATGGCGTTTTAATACACCGAGGACCTGCGCATTTGGACACTATAAATCTTTAATTAATCTCTAAAAAATATCGTAACGTTAAAATATTACCAGTTACTTTTTCACTTTATACCAAGAAAATTTTTTATTTTACTTCTTTCTTGTATTATATGTCTGGTGTAGATAACATCAAAGCTGAGAGATTTATGCGGTTGGGTGTATTTAATCATAAACTCGCAGAATATTGGAATTGTGCTCTGTAAATAATTATACATAACTTTAATATTTCTTTAACTTATTTCATTAAAACTTTTTTGATCTATGACATTTAACTAATTAACATTAAAAATAGACAACGCTATGCATTAGAATGAAAATACATATATTTCACCCACATTCATATTGGGTATAGTAACGGAAGTTTTAAGAACCTAAATATTAACACAAATACTTTGTTTATGTTAGGTTAGGTTCGTATAAGGTTGCTACGAAGCCTGTCGCACTGAGTCCATCACACTGCCTATTGTCCACGGGCACGTATGGGTTTTTTTTTTATCAGCTTTTCATCATTCTCCATAGCCTTGATAGTGGCTTCTCAGTTATATTGATTTCAGTTTTTCTTTGTGCGTGAGTAGAAACCTTTTCCTTGTGAGGCTTTTATGAACTGAGGTTTTTTCTTCTAAGCAGGAATAGACTGTTTGCAGCCACCCGAAATATTTTGAAACGATTACATTCGAAAACGTTCGATCGCAGACTGCAATGAAATTGAGTTTTCGTCGGTCTTGATGGAGATCTGTAAAACTTTAGACGAAACTTTATTAACAAAGTATTGTATTTTGCCGGTTCTGGGATGTTGTTCCACTAGTTGAGTGTTTAAAACGATCTGGAAATTGCTTCTTTTTCAGAGTTTGAGCGATTTAAGAACATCTACTAAAGGGTTAGTTTGAAATTAAAAAGGGTTAATTTAAAATTGAAAATGGTTTACTTGATTTAAAAAAGGTTAATAAGAAGAAAAAAAAGTTAATTTGAAGCGATATTTTTGAATTCTATTTCCAGCCACTTCATCTCTTTCACTCGGAGCTTAAATATGTAACACAGTCGTATCTTTAATGAAACACATTCACATTCAGAGTACTTACAAATGAGCTTTTTTTCAAAGACAGCGGAACGGAAACGGGTTACCATTATCTATTCCAGTTTTGTCTTTATTCCGACTGTTTCGAATAATAAAACATAATTATGATAATAAATAATACTATTGTAACAAGGTTGTTTGTTTGATTTTTAATCTTTTTATAAACAAAACAACATAAATCAATTATTATATCCAAATGAAATATTTTTCAATTTTAACTGCGTAAGTTGTTTTCTACAATAAGGAGCCTAGGAAGAAATTCCCTATTATGAAACAGGGCAAATCTACTCTTTGAAATTTTAAATTCCTAGCACGTAATAGTGGGTAAGTATAAGAACACTGCGAGAATAGTACCCACAGAACTGTCAAACCAATTAGGTTAATTTAGGATAATGAATGCAAGATTTTTACTGAGTGTGAATGAATTTATTGGTGTGAATGAAAGGTGGGCGTCAAGGTGAAAATTGTCTTACAGGGCTCCCAATCGAAGGTTTAGGCTGTACATAATTTTAGGGTAGTTGTATGGGTGGGTTCTCAAGAGTATATCGAGAAGTCTTGAGACCCGCCAAACATAGGTTAGAATTCTTTTAAATAGCACGAATGTGTATTTTAATTAACTTAGGACATTTTAATCTCGGGTGCAAGCGTTAAACATCAAAGGTAGTGATAATAAAAAAAATCGATTAGACAAAACGTGAGGAGCCGGAAATAGCCTTTGCTGGTAGTCAGCCGATCTAATGAAATGACAATATCAAATGATCAATAAATAGTTGCATATAAAGATTCAAATTAATTATTTTTGTTTTTTTATTTTTGTCAAAATGAGTTTTTATTCAAAAAATTTATTAATAGTGAAAATCAAATCAAAAATTACTGTGCTTTAAATTTGTGCGAATGTTGTAAAACTCTTGAAACACTTTTAACAATTGGTTCTGAGTTTGAGGTTTTTATTATACAGCATAACCTAATTTACTTTGATATTTGTTTCAGGTAAAGCCGTTCTCCAATGCCAAATACTATAAACATATAAGCAGAAAACGACAAGCAGAAACTGGTAATGTTGAATAAAAGTGAATTAATACTCGCTTCAAGAAAATAATTGATAGCTTTGAAAATCATAGCGATTTAAATCAAAAGATAAATTGAAATATAGAATCGATGTTCATTGAAAATGTTGATTATTTTGTTATCGACGATGGAAAGGCTGAAGCCTCGAGTCGATAAAAGTAGTAAATAAACAAAGTCTAAACCGTTCGTGTGTTATCTCTCCCCATTCACGGTTTACTTCATTCCATCCGGAGGATTCATTGCCCTCCTTCCAAACTCATACATTTTTTTATTTATTCATTATTTATTCATATTTATTACAAAATTCAAAATCAACTGTGTTTAATTTAAATTATTTCGATTTTTTTTACTCTGTATTGATTTGAGTGTTTATGAAAATATGCTGTTACGAAAATTGTGCTATATTTCAGTCAAAGATTAATACTTATTTTCAATGATATTGTGATTTGTATTATTATTAAAATATTATTATAAACATTTGCGACTGATTACTGATAATATACTCTCTCTAGATTTCCATGTTGTTATCCAATAAATATAAAATAATTATTTTTAAATTTATTTATTAAACATGTTGTACTTAGTACTGTAAGTTGTGTTGGTGTTTAATAATAGATAGTAGATGCTTGCACCATCATCATCAATAATCTAATTAACTTTAGACATGTGTTGGCATAACTGTCCAATCCCAGCTGTTCCCAGCGTTGTAATAAATAACTGAATAAATTAAATAACGATCACATAAATTAGAATTAAAATACTTTAACTGAGTTAATATATAGTGTCTTAAGTGTAATTAATAAAAGCTACAAGCAAAAGCATAATGAATTTTCCTTTTTAGTCGTCCCTCTCTGATGGCAAGTTGCTAGATGAATGCAGAACTATCTATTTATGTGTTCAAGGAGCTCCAGTTATAAACCTTAGTATTCGATTTTGAACCGTTTTCACCTTCTTTAGTTGAGAAAGAAGAAGAGGCGACAAAAGACACATTGCGCAACCGTATTGCCAGATCAGACGACTGATCATTTTGTAAATTAATGCTTATTATGGAGCGGAATGACAAGACTTGTTAAATGAAGTTTCAACATGCGACTGCGCGTATTGCAGACAATTTTCTGTATATGCTCACTTCATGTACGCTATAAAAAATGGATTTGGTTTGGAAAATACATAATACATTTTTCACCAATAAATGTACATAGATCGAAGAAATGATATAACTAAACTTATAAATTGTGTTCTGTATTAAAAATAATTTAAATAAATAATAAGCGAAAAATATTTGTGGGTGCAATAAGAGAAAATAAACGCATCTTAAGAAAAAAGTTTATTATGTCTATAAAAACAAAAACTGAGCACTGAAATCTAAAATTTTAACCAAGCCACAAAAAAGAAAAAAAAATGATTCGATATGACTGTATTTAATACAATATTCAAGGTGTTAATTACAGTAAAGTAATTCCTGTCATAGAGAAGGGTTTAACATCCAACGTTGGCTGTCATTGAAGTTAAAAAAACGTAAACAAATTAATAAGACTTTTACAAATTTAATTTTATCTGCACAGATTATTAAATATTTGTACCAAATCTAGTGACAAGCCCTCTCGGTCGGCTTATAAGGAATTCAGCGCCATATAAACCCATGCCCACGGGCAGCAATCAAACTCGTGGAGAAGAGGCTAAGCGCAGTCCACTCTGCAATTCTCTTGCTGTTCCGCATCGGGTTTTGTGTCAGCCTGTTCGATTTTAGGTGAAATTCGGTTATTCAAAATTTACATCAAGTTAAAATAGTGCTTGGGTAAAGAAATCAAATGTTTTGCAAATGCGGGTCTTATTTTCTGAAGACATTTCTCACTTTTTTTTTCTTTTACCTACAAATACAATAGACAAAACAACAATTTTTTCCTACTGCGATAGTACATTTCATTTTACATACCGACCTTAATAAAAGTAATAAATGTTTTATAGCAAATATTTTAGTGCAGGATTTATGTTGTTGTATCGTCCTGAATAAGGATTTGTTCGGATTCTAATTTGGATTCATTTTAGCACCATTTAGAGCCCTTCCTTATGAATTTTTATAGCAATGAAAAATAAATATTTTTGAGCTTAATCAGCTTAGATTTTATCTAAATTCAAAGTTATGACAAAGTTAGATTGAAAAGCTAGATTAGTGAAGCTTCAGCCGATGACAATAAATAATTTATAAGATTCTAAACCCCCTTTTTTATATATTTTTTATTTGTAGCCAATACATATTAGTACATATTACAAATTTGATCACAGTATTTATTTTGGCACAGTTACAGCACTAACACTAATGCTAGCGCTCCACCAGTCAATGCTGGCACTAAGTGTGAGGGATTAAGAGGCAAGTAGGTATCGCGACATCATCGATTAAGCCGATGTGCGGGTTCTCGGCATAGGAATGCGTAAATAGGGCTGGAGCAGTCGACTTTTGGAATCGATAACGGATAAATCGTTGACGAAAGGAATGTTCAGGTCATTGAGGATAGTAAGGAGGTTTGACAATTTGTCTGTTGACTTTTGATTGGAAGGATGGCTGCGTTGGCTGGTGGTCAACACGGATTTTGGTCCTTGAAGTCTTCGTAGTAGTCCAAATCTTCTGTTAAGTTGTTGTCTCTTAAGTCTTGTGTGGGCATTCCACGTCACTTTGCTGTCTAGGTATAGTTCCAAGTATGTGACTTATTATCGGTTTCATTTCCGAAAACTCGATGCCGCACCTCACTTTGAAGGAGCGGTCGATTTGGTATGATTTCAAGTAAGAGAATAAGGATTGCGTAGGAAGCGTTTAAGTTTGTTACGCAAGCCAGGATGCCAAATCCTATCTAGGAACGCAATACGCTTTGCTCTCTAGAGCAGAGGAGGTTCGATAATTCTGAAAATTTTTTGGATCGTAGAATGAAGTGGAGGAAGACGAATTGGTGAGAGGGAATTATTTTATGAGTATCTAGGAATATTTCCATAATAGAGGATTGTGAGTTGTGGCTCATTGCCTTTGTATATTGTGGTTAAGAACACTATAGTCTTTTGACGAAGATGTCAAAGTATGATGGAGTTAATTAGATCATATGCAAAAGATTTACCACTTGGGAATTTGTGAATGTTAACTTCAGAAAGATTAAATGGTGTGAGAGAGAGGTGAAGTGGAAGTGGTACTCTAAGGTTATGCGTGAGGGGCATCATTTCAGTCTTGATAAGGAGTAAATGTAGATTTTAAATGAGTTGCAAGCAGGATTTATTTATCTTTATCGCTCCTGCCCAGGGTCTATTCGGTAAATGGATGGGGAATACACTGAGTGAAATTTTAATGTTTTTTTGTAGCGGTACATTTTTTCCAGTAGATTGATGGAGTCGTTTCAAAATTACCCATTTTTGTATGGTTATCGTATATATTGAAATACATAATTTGTGATCAAGCGACTTGGCAATATAGGCTTAATTTTTTTTTTAAAACCAAGTAACAAAGTTGATATTCTATTTTTGCACCTCAAACACTCCTGAATATGAAACTGCTAAAAAAAAATTTCATAAAAATATTTGCTCTTCTAAATAACTCCGAATATTTTTAGAAAATCACAAAAATAGTATGAAACAACTCACAGTCTCACTGGAAAAGTTACAGGAGTTTAGAACTAAATAAATTACATGTAACGGCTTAGACACTCCATAAATGTATTAAATATAACTTTGTTGATCGTTTTATGATGTCATCCTTATTTTTTTCAGTTGTACTGACATACATTTTCTATTCAATTTCTGTCCTTTTTGTCTAATGTATTTTCTCCTCATTCACATGCTGCATAGTGTACATGCCATTATTTTTATCTAGTTGGATGGATTTATCATAGTTTTACCTTAGTATTTTTTATTGTGCTTGTAGTTTTCAGTGCTGTTTTAATGCCAAACATATTAAATCAATAAGTTGTGCTTTTTTCTAATTAACGTAAACCTTTTAGCATAAATCAATATTGTTACAAATGCCATATTAACAGAAAAAGGTGTATAAAAATGGATGCCGGTTCTTTTTATTGCAAAGACTATATTTTGACTCTTATTTGTTATTCCTATTTATATTAAGACGCCATAGATATTTTTACAATTTTTGTAAAGTTGCCTGTATTTAATTACTTGCTTAAATTCTTGATCGCTTATATGTCAACGACGTGAAACGGTTCAGCGTGGCACCTGTAATCAACTATTAACTTAAATTAATAGTAAAGTTGGATGGTTAAACGATAAAGTTGGTTAAAGTTGACACAACATTGCCTAGGATGTATTAAGCGTAATTAATTTGTAATTTGAAACACAATCCTGATTCTCAAAAACGCAGGGTCTGCAAAATAGTGTAAAACCTATTTTTTTTTATCTCTCGTTTTATTTTGTTGATAGTATTTGGGATTGTATGAATGCAAAACTGGCAGGTTCCAACGGAAATGTATTAAAATTAGAGTAAATTTAACTTTACTGTGGATGAATAAGGAATAAGAGCAATAGGCTAGTTTTTTTTTTTAAATTCAATTTATTCAAGTTCCAATTGTGGCCTGATTATAGTTTAACGATTGCGTTATCACAATGTTTTTTATCTGCTGAAAAAAACCTTATTTAATGTCAAATGAGCGAGTTTCAACAAGAAATAGGAGATACAAAATTCATTTCGGTTTAATAACACGTGTTTATTAGAGTCCATGTGGTTATGGCGTCCGACTTGTAGTTGCTCCTAGCGCTTCTGGGTTCGAATCCAGGCTGCGCCCATGTTTTCAAATGGATTATAGTAATGTATTGTAAAATGTATTGTAAAGTAGTTTGACCTTTCGACGGCTACACCTATCGGGTAGTTGGACGTTACGCTATCTTGCATGAATTACTTTCTTTTTGACTTTTTACGTGTTGGTTATCAATAAACTAATAGGTATTTTTATGCCGGAATATTAAAAAAACAATGGGATAAATTAAGAATAAGAATTAAGAGTGGAAACAAAAAGGGATTAAAACTTTTCATACGGAACATCGACAGGCCATTGAAACGGGTGCCTTAAAAAACTAAATACGCAAAAAAGTTCCAGAACGGGCCTTTAACAATGTCAAAGAATACTCACAATAGGTACACTCGCTGATAAGCCCCTCGCCTCAAATTTGTCATTTATTCAGAAAAATAGGCGG